CCCTCCCCTCTTTTTCCCTCCTACTCCCACCCCATCACGAATGCTCTATCTCAGGTCTGCAGATATATCTGCAAAGTGTAAAGCACCAGATATTTGAGGCTTCGCAGGCCAGGAAGATGCTACGTAGGTGCGTTTAGAGCAGGAGACAGACTTACTCTTTCTGATGAAATTAAAAATCCAATAATGGGGTATGACTTCTTTGTAATACAGGTCTCCTAACAGAGAAGAAGGACGCTTTGGGGAGGGATATTTTGCTGATTGGGGAACAGCGTTCGCGGTTCTCATCACGGACGCAATCGCAGGCCGCCGTCCGTAAAGCCATTCCCCGCGTGCGCCCATGCAGGGCGGGGTTTGGCCTGAGGGACAGATCCTGGGACTCCTGCTCCCTCTCAGCCCCCCAGCGTCCCCGCCTCCCTGCCTCTCCCCCTGTGCACTCCCTGGGGTCTCTCCTCAGCTGTCTCCCCCTGCACTTGCTGTCCCCTGACACCGAGGCCGATCGGAGGCTCTGAGCGGGGGCTCCTGGCTCCCACGCGGGGGGCCTCAACCCTGCACTATCGCATTCTGTGCCTGGATGCCACAGACGTCAGTCACGCTGTTCCCCGCCTGGACGGCCTCTCACGGCCGGTCCCCTCCTCTGCTCTAGTCCACACCGGAGCTGGGCACGGGGCCACTCAGCCCATTTCCAGGTCAGGAGCCCGAAGCTCAGAGAAGGTCAGCGACCTGCCCGCACAGACCCGGGAATCAGCAAGGAATCCGGAACCAGCCTGGGCCTGTCCACCCAGGCGTGGCCCCAAACTCCTAGCTAGCACGCCCTTGCCCCGTCTTTCACCTTCTCACTCTCCCTCCTTGCCCTCGGGGAGCCCCCGCCCGTGAGAAAGTGCCCCGATTACAGTAACTGCTGGACGGTAGGCCTGCCAGGCCTGCAGGGCTGAGGGCGTCCCCGCTGCGAACCAGCGAGCCAGCGGGAGCCTGGGGCAGGCAGTGGGGTTTCTCGGCCTGGGAAGCGGCCTCCCAGAGAGACCCAAGGCTCAGCATTCACCTCTGAGCTGTTAGCAAGCAGCACGGAACCATTTTCCCCGAGAAAGTAATGACTGTAATCATTTGTCAGGGTTCACATCCCCGCTAGAGGACTCAGAGGAACACAGCCCAGGCCCACTGCCATTTGCTAGAAGCTACTTGCAGGAGCCCCCCCCCCCAGGCCCCTCCCCTGCAGAGCCTCCAGGAGGCCGCTGGGCTCCCCCCAGACCCGGTTCTGCAAGGCGTCTTCACAGCTGCTGCACATCCCAGCCGGCTGGGGAAGAGAGCATGAGTGACGGTGGCAGGGGGAGGGCGACCAGGGCCAGGGGGCCACAGACAGGGGCACGCTCCACGGCCTGTCCCGTGCCAAGGTGTCTCTGTGCTGGTCTAGGAACGGGGTTCAGGGGATCCCAGTCTTATCCCTGTCCCTGAAGAGCCCTGCCCATAGTTGGGGGGGCAGCCATTTGTAGCGGGCTGAATGGGGACCCCAAAACTATATGGCCATGTCAGTCCCTGGAACGTGTGACCGAGACCCCATCTAGAAAAGGGGTCTTTGCGGCTGTCATTGAGTGAAGGCCCTTGAGACGAGACCACACTGGATTGTCCAGCTGGGCCCCAGATCCGGTGACGAATGTCCTTTGGGGACAGAAGAGGAGATACGGGCCCAGAAAGGCGACAACGTGAAGACAGGGAAGAGGTTGAAGAGACGTGGACACAAGCCCGGGGCACCGGGAGCCACCGGAAGCTGGAAGGGACAAGGGAGGGTCCCCCCCTGGAGGCTCTGGAGGGAGCGCAGCCCCTCCCACACCTCGGTTTTGGGCTTCCGGCTTCCAGACAGTGGGGGAACAGATTTCTGTTAGGTTAAGCCCCCCTGTTTGTGGTGGGTCCTTACAGCCACCCCGGGAGTGAGTCGTTCCCGGAAGAGGGCGCAGGTGTGGACACGTCGCTTTTGGGAGCCGGTGCTGGTCTGCTCGGACCCAGCCTGGGGCGGGCCCGGCCCGGCCCTGCCATCTGCCGTCTCGGGGACGTGAGGTTTCCGTGCTGTTTACTGCTGGGCATTCTCGTGGAGACCAGCGGGATAGGACAGAGAGATTCCAGAATGAAGCAAGCCAGCGCTGGCCAGGTCCGCGTGCGATCTGCCCTCAGGGTGTTGGGGGAGGCCTCTGCACGCAGCACTGGGCCTCCGGGAGGCAGAGAGCCGGCACCGTGTGCGGGAGAAGGGGCTGTGGTCCGCACGCCCTGGGCCGCCGCTGCAGGAGGGCCGGCCCCGAAGCTTCGTCTGTGGAACGAGGGCCGGACACCCGTCTCGCCACGAGCAGCGGACGCGCAAGGCACAGGGGCAGTTAAGGTTGGTGGGGCTGCGATCACAAGGGTCCCCAAAAAGGGGGCACGGAAGAGGAGGGTCAGAGAGACCCGTGTGATCGTGGGCACAGGCCGCAGGGACACCACACCGCCAGCTCTGGAGGCGGAGAGCAGGGACATCCAGAAGCGGGAAAAGCCCGGACACGATTCTCGATTCTCACCTGGAGCCTCCGGGAGGAGCCAGCCCGGCCACACCGCCACCTTGACGTTAGCCCAGGGAGACGCGTGTTGGGCTTCCGACCTCCGCAACCGAGACCTGATGAGGTTATTTCGAGCCCCTCAGCCTGTGTCGCTCTCACAGCAGGGGCGGGAGGTGCATCCGCCACTCGCTCGTCTGTCGTTCCTCCTGTGTCCTCCCCACGCGTGGGGCACCTGGCGGGCCTGTGCGCTGGGGCGGGGGAGCGCCGACCCTGGGGATTGTGGGGGGTTCACACCGAGCTCCCGCCACAGACAAGACACGCACTAACTGTGTGTCGTGACTGCAACATAAATGTATTCCTCGGCCTCCCCGAGGCTCCGTTTTCTCAGGCTTGCCTTGAGAAAGACCGATGTCCTGCACACATATGGGCAGAAACAGCCCCAGGCACACGGGAGGCTCCAAGGAACCCCGCCGGGCCGGGGTGTGGGGTCTCCATAGCCGTGGGCCGAGACCCCGTGTGCAAGGAACTTTTGGGGAGAGGCCGTCTCTGTGCGGCCAGGAGACTGACTATAGGTGATTACTGATATTTGACCTTCCTTATGGGCCAAATCAGTAGCCAACTGTTGGGTGTGTCTGGGCCAGTGCATGGGCTCTCTGGAGAGTCTGAGAAAGGGGACAAGGGGAACTGGAGCCCCTGGCCGGGGCGGGAGGGCTGAGCACAGACCCCCATCCTCACTCCCTGGCATTTCCGTGTGGGGCTGAGCAGAGGGAGGCCGGGGGAATGCCCAGAGCAGAGGCATTGGCCCAGGCCCTGCGGGTCCAGTGGGAGAGAGGCAGGGCTCCGAATCAGGAGCTCTGGGGTGGAGATGGGATGACAGTGACACACAGGCGTGGTAGGACCCAAGCTCTGCTCACTGTCTGATGGCTGGTGTCCGGGGCTGGGAAGCAGCCAGGCTTTGGGGTCGGACAGAACTGGCTTCCGGTCGAAGCTCGGGCCACGGTCTTGGGCCCTTGCCCCCTGGGCCCCCCTCACCTCCGGAGCGTGCCCGGTCAGCCTCAGCTCTGGGTGAGGAGTGAGGCCCCGCGGGCAGAGCTCTCGGCGAGAGGCTGGCGCACGGTGGACGCTGTTGTCAGAGGGCTCCGGGCAGGTGTTCATGACTTTTCTCGTTTTGCTGTCCCAGGTCCGAGGGGTGAAAGGAGTCTTCCTGGCAAACCAAAAAACCAATGGGAAGGTGGTGACACTTATAACCTACAACAAGGGCCGCGACTGGGACCGCTTGAGGCCACCCAGCACAGACATGAACGGAAAACCAACCAACTGTGAGCCTGTGAGTCCCTCTCCCGTCCCACACCCTCCTCGGGGTGGGCACAAGTCGTCCCTGAAGGGGCCCTGGGCGTCCCGGGGAGGGCCCCGTCTGAGAGACGGGAACCACGGGCTTCTCTGGGCGTCGCGGAGAGGGGCCAGGGGAGCCCCTTGCTTTACTGGAGGCTTAGCTGGAGGTCGGAGACGGAAGATGCATCAGTCAGCACTTAGCGCCACACGGCTGCGTAACAAGCGGCCAGCGACAATCCTGCATTCTTCAGCTCCAGGCTGGGCTCAGCCACGCGCTCTGTGCTCCTTGGCAGGGCCCCCTCACAAATGTGGGGGTTGGTTGATTTCAGGGGTGGTCTGCTCCCTGTATCTGGCCTCCTCCTCCCGGGACCGGCCCCGGCACACTCTCATGGCCGTGGCCGAGGTGCAGGAAAGTGAGCAGACACCTGCTGAGTAGACAGGCCGGCACGTAGGACCGGGGAGCGCACCCCCGGTGGGGGTGGGCCGGGGCCACCGCCCAGATGTCGTGAGCTCCAGCCCGGTCCTGCTGTCCCAGGGGTGCCCGTCCCGTGAATGCCAGCGGAGGCTGTCCTGCTTGGCCACCGGGAGATACGGGCAGCACGCAGGCCCGTGTCTGTGAGGCTGGACAGATGGTGTGCTACGGGGGCCTGGCCTGAGAGACGGGCTGCTCGGCGCCCCGCAGACTTGCCTCTCCTCGCTCCCTGGGGAGCTCACCACCACCACCCGCACCCGGGCCTTCCCCAGCGGGGGAGTGGGGAGCGGTCTGGAGTTAGAGCAGCACAGTGCTGCAGCCTCCGGCCAGGTGCCTCTGTCAGTCGGTGCCTCTGTTGAAAAAGGAAACAAGATGATAAAAATCGGTGCCTGGGCCTCGTGGGGAGGACGGAGAGAACAATGCACGGTCTCTGGTGGGGAGCAGGCTGGAGAGGCAGAGCACATCCCATCCTTTTCGGACAGCCCCCCTTCCCACGCCGTCCTGTAGCCTGGAATGCCTTCTTCCTTTTCGTCGTCCAGCAAACCCTATTGACACTTGAAAACCCTGCCCGGATACTCCCTCCACTGAGAAGCCTCCACTGGGCATACTTGCTCCTCTGTCTTCCCCTGGCCCTGACTGTAGGTCCTTTGCAGGTAGGGACTGCGCTCCGGGGGTGCCCGAGCCCTTCTGTAGCTCTGTCCTCTCTGCACAGAAAGAATGACAGTGTCTATTTTACAAGGATATTCTTTCAACAAAGATAAATGGGTACCTACTATGTGTAAGGTGCATTTCTGGGTGTTTGATGATTATTCTTTTTGAAGAGAGAGAGAGCATAAGCAGGGGAGAGGAGCAGAGGTGCAGAGAGAGAGAAAGACAGAGAAAGAGAGAAGGAATCTTAAGAAGGCTCTGTATTCAGCATAGATCCCCCAGCACTGTGGGGCTCTATCCCATGACCCTGGGATCATGACCTGAGCTGAAATCAAGAGTCAGACGCTCAAACCGACTGAGCCACCCTGGCGCCCCTGTTCTGTTTAGAAGACAGAACACCCCAAACACATCCTGTTTGAAGACACATTCTGTTTAGAAGACATCAACACCCCAAACGCATCCTGTCCAGATCTCTGCAGGGCCTCTGAATATGGTAGGCCCCCCGCCCCACCGGCCATGGTGTGGACACAGCCCAGGGAGAATCGGTTCCTTCCTCTACCTGGGGACGCTGACTCCCGAGGTCCCCCGGGGCAGCAGCCTCAGCCTGGCGGGGACGTCCCGTGAGCCCAGGCCCGGGCTGCCCTTCACCTCCTGCGCTCAGCTCCCGACGATGCCCTCCCCGCTGGTACGGGAGCAGAATAGCCCCTGGGACCCGTGTGGAAGATGCATTCCCTGCCGCTTGTGCAAACTCTTCTGAGACAGGATTGCCGTGAAGGGCTCATTTCTGTATGTCATCATCAGCACAGTTAAGCCATATTAATCCGTCAAAGCAAGTTTTTGCCAAGAATAGAGTCTCGTCTGCGGCTGCGCAGCGTGGCCAGGAGATCACCTTCGTGAGATGTGTGAACAGAGGGACGAGGAACAGCCGTAACCGTAACACCCAGAAATAGCAGTAACCGGGCATTTTCCCTGACAATCTTAGCGTAGATGCTGTGAAAGAGTCATCATACGGACCCTGACACGTGTCTGATTTGTCCTAACTCTGGGTCACTAGCCCCCCCCCCCCCCCGGGGCCATCCCAGGGCTCCGCGGGGAAGGTTTCCCTGCTGGGACGGGGACGCCTTACGCAGAGGGATGGCACGATCAGATGTGTTTCCAGAGAACGCCTATTTGGAGGAGTTTTGAATCTGCTCACACCTTAATTCAGAATGAAAGCCCAGTAGGTTTGCAGCCCTTCTCAGACCTGGGGCTGAGTCACGAAAGGGGCCGAGTCACGAAAGGCGCTGAGAATGGGGAGCCGGGGGTCCCCATGGGCCTCCCTGCGTGGCCTGCCTCACACCCACCCAAGCCCCCGCGGGCACCCGGGCCCACCTCCCCCAGGACGGGACATTCAGCAGAACGGGACTCCTGTGACACCAGCCTCCCCTCAGAGTCTCCCGCCCCGGCCCCTCTCTGACCTCAGGGTGTCTGAGCGCCCCGGGGTCGGCCCCCCACGGTTCTGCCTCGCCCCGCCCACCCAGCCCTCCATCAGCTCAGTCCAGACGCGGCTGGAGGGCTGTTGTAAGGCCTTGTCTCAAGCTGTCGGACACGAGCAGAGCCACCCCCCCACACACACACACAGCAGCTCCAGGACCGGCTGAAAGACATTCGTCGGCAGGCCCTCCGGGGCTCCGACGGGGACCCCAGCTCTGCCTGCACCTGCCAGCATCCTGTGGGCCACAGCTGACCGCACGGAACCCCGAGGAGTGTCCCCCTTTAGGCCCAGACAAGTACCCAGCCTCCAGGGTAGTCCGCTGGCGGGCGGGCGGGAGAGGCAGCCGGCTTCTCCGAGACGGTGCCTCTGCCGCGCTCTGCTCCCTGCGCGCGGTGATACTGTGTGCACAGTGCCTCGGGGGACGTGGGCAGGCCTGGTGGCAGCCCGGGGAGGCCCTCCTGGCCCACCGGGGAACCTCGGGCTCCTTCACCTCGTCCCTGCCGAGGCTGCTTTTTCTTCTTCTTGTTTTTTAATTTAATTTTGTCAGTAGTAGTGCTTCTTTTTACGTTACATCCCGGTTAGCAATAACGATTCCAGGAGCAGAACCCAACGACGCATCCCCCACGTACATCACCCGGTGCCCATCCCCACAAGTGCCCTCTTCGGTGCCCCTCGCACATTTAGCCCCTCCCCCTCCCCCAACCCCTCCCGCAACCCTCAGTTTGTTCTCCGTGTTTATGAGTCTCTGCTGTTGTGTCCCCCTCCCTGTTTTTAGATTATTTTTGCTTCCCTTCCCTTATGTTCATCTGTTCTGTCTCTTAAAGTCTTCACATGAGTGAGGCCATATGACATTTGTCTTTCTCTGACTAATTTCACTGAGCAGAATACCCTCCGGTTCCATGCACGTAGTTGCAAATGGCAAGATTTCATCCTTTTTCGTTGCCAAGTAATACTCTGTTGTATATATATATATATACCACATCTTCCTTATCCATTTATCCACCGATGGACATTTGGGCCCTTTCCATACTTTGGCTATTGTCGATGGTGCTGCTATCAACATGCGGGTGCACGTGTCCCTTCGAAACGGCACACCTGTATCCCGTGGATAAATGCCTAGTAGTGCAATTGCTGGGTCGTAGGGTAGTTCTGTTTTTAGTTTTTTGAGGACCCTCCGTACTGTTTTCCAGAGCGGCTGCACCAGCTTGCATTCCCACCAGCAGTGCAAGAGAGATCCTCTCTCTCCGCATCCTCGCCAACATCTGTTGTTGCCTGAGTTGTTCATGTTAGCCGTTCTGACAGGTGCGAGGTGGCATCTCAGTGTGGCTTTGATTTGTCCTTCCCTGATGATGAGCGACGTTGGAAACACCTTTTTCTTCTGACTTAGAACTGTCTTCTCCCCCTGGGAGCCGCCCTGCCTGCAGACGTCGCAGGAATGTCCCTGCCCCGTGTGTCTGGTCACCAGATGGGGAGGGGGAGAGAACTGAGCGGTCTCACCATACCCCCTCACCAGTCTGCTCTTCGGGCACAAGGAGTCAGGGGGAAACCCGAACTGGGAAAGTCTTAGCACACTGGTGTGAGGGGGGGCGGGTTCGTCCGTTCGACCCATCCCCCGCGCTCCTGGACGGCACCGGGCTCTCCTCCACTGACTCTGACTCGCGCTCACCTTCAGCGCGGGCCCCCGGGTCTCCGTCGGGAGGGACGCCAGCACCAGATCCGCTACCGAAGTGGACTTCTGCAGAGGGGAGGGGCCTGCGCTCAACTCATCACCTTTCTCTTTTTTCTTTTTTACAGCTTTGGGGACAAATGACTCACACACCATACGGTTCACCCACTTAAAGTACACGGGTCAGGGGTTTTCTGTCTACTCACAGAGACGCGCGGCCGTCACCACAGCCCATTCTAGAGCAATGTCGCCCCAGAGAGGACCCGGTCCCCACCCCTCGCCCCCCCCGCCCAAGCCCAGCCCCTGGCCGCCGCTGGTCTGCTTCCTGTCTCCATAGACCCCTGGCCTGGGCATCTCACACGAATGATCACACTGCCTGTGGCACAGCTCACACATCTTTAAGGGCCCAGCAAAGACAAGGGAGCCTGGTCCCAACTGGACCGGGCCCTGGGGCTGCCACCTGGTGCCGCCTGACCCGGGTCGGCGTTTCACTTTTAACTTAGGATAATCTAAAACGTGCTCAGTCCGTGGCCAGAAGAAAGTGCCCCCAAACATACAAGGATGAGACGAAGCATCTCAGACAGAGGTCAGCAGGTGGGGTGATGTAGTCCCAGTTTGCGGTGTCTAAATTAGAATTTGGATCCCTGAGTGCTCAGTTCCGCGGTATTTCTAAACTGGAGATTTTTCTAGGAAGTAAAGAAGGCCAAAGAAACGATTACTTTTCTTATAAGTAAGCAATTAAGCGAAACCTTGTCCAGGGGGAGAGCTGGACCCCGACGTTCTCTCCAAAAGCTGTGCTGTGTTAATCCAGTAATCCTGTGAAGTAGAGAAACGGAGACTCAGAGACACTGAGCACTTTTTCCAGAGTCACACAGCTTTCGGGGGGGTACGAGGACTCAAAACCCAGCCCCTCCTGTGGTCCCACATATTCCAGGCCTGTGGAATGCCCAAACTGGGGACTCCAGGAAGGTTGCCGCCCAAGTCTTTAACCCAAGAACCCATTTGAGGTCTGATGTGTGACGGGAGCTCTGGTGGCCCTCCTCCTCCGTCTCCTGTGTGTCAAGGTCGGCTCAGCCGGCTAGACCCCAGACCCTGTCACCTCTCAGCCTTTGAGAGGGATGAGAGAGGAAACTGATGTCGGAGGCCTCTGTGCAGGCAACCCCTGGTGCGTGGCTAAGTCACTGTCTGTTGCAGCCTCTGGAGCCCTGGAGGGTGCTATGCAGAGACCTGGGACCTTGTCCTGTGGCTCTATATTCTGTCATGGGGCTGCCAGAGGGCTGTGGGCAAGAGTGCGGCCTTGAGCCTCTGTGGCCTGGGGAGACTCAGGGAGGCCACAGTCCACGGAGCACATCCTTCTCGGCTTGTCTGTTCTCCCCAGACCCCCAGTCCCGCCCAGGGGTGAGCTGGGGTGCAGGCGGCCAGGAGACAGGAGAGGGTAAGGGGTCTGTTCCTGCTCCTACTTCTGGGAGGCTCCTGGCTCAGTGACCCTGGGGAGACAATGCAGGCTCAGAGTGTGGACACTGGATCCAAGCAGCCTGGGTCGTCGCCCCAGCTCCACCACTGCCCTTGGGTGTGTTGCTTCAATGCTCTCTGCCTCAGTTTCCCCACTGGTGAAATGGGGATGGGAGTGGGGGATGTGGAGAGTGTCAGTGACCCACATCTCATGTGGTGCTAAGCTCAGTGCTGGCAACAGAGGCAGCTGTCAGCCGATGGGAGTTGCCACTGAAATTATTGTTACAACGGGTTTTCCTGCCCCTCCAGCCAGGGCACCCCCCAGGGCCGCCCTCAGGGTGCCCACTGATGCTTGCCAGTGGGCTCTTCACAGAAGGCACAGGGCTGAGGTTGTGTTACAGCCATTATCTGGTGCCTGGGCTACTGTGGCTCTGGATGGATGGATGGATGGATGGATGGATGGAT